ACCTGATGAGTGAACATTATGGGAAGTACACTAGAAAGACGGGATTTAAACGTTGTCGGCTGAAGACCCAAGTTTGATTTGAAGATGAGAAACGCACAGAAAAATCAAGCACAAGCTGATGCTCTCCGTGTTTTTCCGTTGTCTCTGGTCACAATCATTTATACATTTTGTGAGCTTATTTTGTACATTAAAAAGAAAGATTTGAAAAAAACATACATTTACCCACTCATAGATCCTCCCCTCGAAGAAACCAGGACAGAAGTGGTTGAAAGTAGACAAAAGAGAGAGATTAAAACACGGGAATGTGTCTCTCGTCTACTTGTTGTGATCTGATCGACCAAACCGCATCTTAATACCAGGTGTGAACAAGGCCAAGTGGATAAATAATTGGAGAAGTCGAACATGTCATCAGAGAGAAGTTGGTGTTGTTTCACCAGATGATCCAGTTATGAAAGTTACAGAGTCAAAAATAAGTTTGAAATAATTGAATCGTTCACAATTATATCAATAACATGCATTTATAAATAGATGAGTGGGATTTTAAAGTTCCTGTGAATCGGAAGTTGCAAACAAATTTTCTCCAGTGTTGTGACGTATTTCTGAGAGAAACGGAATACTAAATGAGGCAAAATAGTGGGCGTGGATTTTTTTCCAACTAGCACCTGATTGGATCTAGAAAAGTAGGTGTAACACTAATTGGAATTATAAAACTGTTTTTATTTGCTATTACTGCTGCAACCTTAACCGTTATGATACCAGCGTGCAACTCACTATGAGTGTCACAACCAAAAATGCACCTCCTCGCCATTTCTCCTTTCACAAGCTGTCAATGCTCGCAAACACACAGGCAGCCCACTATTCACTATCAGTTGGAGGGGCACGGTTACGGATGTTAAGCAGACACCCAAACCGTCAAACCTTCTTCATCAGGGAAGTTCTTCCAATACAGTAGGGAGGGGAATTTTCAGATTATGACTAAAGATTACGAAGCCAAAACATTTTTCTGTGTGGAATTCATAGGAACTTTATTTTAATCAAAACCTTAAGAAAAAGGTAGAGAGGCTTTGCTATACAACATAGCCACCACCAGTTACTACATTTAAACAAATCTGGAAAAGCCTCATTAAAAGCCTTTGTAAATTAGCCAATACACCCACAAATCAATAATAATGCAGCAAATTCATAGAACGTTTATGTTAAGGTTATAAAAAATCAAAGCCATCTTTTTACATGTTCTGAAGTAATTCCGAATAAATGCTTATCCTTACTATATGTTAATAACTATGTTTGGCAGTAAACGCGATTAATTTATGGTGTAATTCTGAACCTCTTGGCTTGCCATAATCCTAACCAAACGTATCTGATATTACACACCGTGTGTTTACTATGTTCTCACGTGAGACTTTTTTTTTTCGACCCGGTTGTGGTACAGCTGGTGAAACAGACACGAGTGCTCCTGCCAAATTTCTACTAATTTTTCTTCCATTTATTGTGTCCAAATAGACCGAGAAGAAGCTTTTTTTGTTGAAACAATGCCATATCATGTTGATATGTGATCTATAACTCCTCCCCGAACTCCCTGCTGCTCTGTATCTTGCTCTCTCACTGGCTGCCGGTGATCGCCGATGTAGTTTTCAGTCAAAACACTTTTCACACAGCAGGATTTTGAATCGCCGACAGGTCCAGATATTTAGCATGCCAAATATCTCACGGGCGTCGGCGACTCGTCGGTGATTCTCTCAGTTCGCGTCTTTGTTCATTCACACTGCGTGATTGTCACTCGCGTGAACGAGCGCCGATTTGCCTGTGATTTCGGGCATTTGTCGGCGATTTCTCAAAACCTGTCGGCGAGCCAAAATCGTGGCTAAAATCATGCAGTCTGAACTCGGCATAAGTGTATTTTATGATTTTTGAGCAAAAAGTCATTTCAGTCAATATCAACCAATTCAACAACAAATGCGTCTAAAGTTGTTGTCGTCGTAGGATGTCTGTGTATTATTTAAACCTTGTTTGTATAGTGTGTAACCACACGTTTATAAATATATATTTATTTAAAGATATTGTATTAAAAACTGGATATATGTTGTTGTTCTGTAAGTTAGCCATCTTCTCACATTTGCCACAGAAGCATCTGTATGACAAGTAAACATGACGCCACAGGTCCCTCGCATAAATGTAATTTCGCTTGTACGTAGCAAACTTTATCACAGTATGTGTATGTAGTTTCAAAAAAATTGCGCCAACATTAGTGTTTGTGTGTGTGTGTTGCACATCCATTATTTCAAAGGGGACGCGATTACAACTCTATAAGTACATAAATATATCAAATAGCCATACCGAGACATACTGGTCCATTCTCATTTGTGTTTATTCTGCCGGAGTCTCTTCGTACTATTTAAATATTCCGATTCAAACATGTACGCTGAATGACATTCAAAATATCGGTTTCTCTCACTCTCTCAGCCCTTCTGCTTAGACCGACTGCCATAGGTATCAAGTTACGCCCACATCCAAAGACAGGGCGGGGATATGCAGCTCATTTGCATTTAAGGTCGTATACACCAAAACAGCTCATTATTATACAGGCCCCAAAATGACATTTTCAAATGGTTATAATAAATTAACTATGGGGTATTTTGAGCTGAAACTTCACAAATACATCCTGGGGACACCCAAGACCAATATTACATCTTGTAAAAAGGGGCATAATAGGTGCCCTTTAAATAAAAGGTGCCACTGTCTGTGTGCTGATTGGCTAAGAATAAGCAAACACATAACAGGTTTCTGTCAATCAATCAAGCATGAGGTCTTGAATCAAAAATCAGCAAATTAATCAACATCTACAAGCTCATTTCTAGCAAGACGGACTACACGCACTAAAGACGCGAGTCAGAAACAATGCAATCAAGAAGCCACATGAATTATTGAGACATGTGCCGCTACGGTCGGTCTACAGGGCCGCGCTGGTGTCGAGTTACCATGGCAAACCCATGGCAGACTGCATACCATTACTGCTGATTACTTAACGATTTTCCAAGTCTGACCAGTTAGAAGAGGTATGCTTTAATAGAAACACTTCAGAGGAAAACTGTTGCTACTGATGATGTGTGTGTGTGTGTGTGTTTGGTTTCAAGAGGAAGAGAGACACCTGGGTGACCAAAAGAGGTGTAAATGATCATGTCCTGTCAGGCCGAACAAAAGTCACAATCTGCTGTGCATGAATTTGCATTTGTCCCCCTGCACCTCCAAGACGGGTCCGATCCCACCTGTGAGTCTACAACAGCTGTAATGTCAACTAAACAGATTCTCTCCAGAGACTACACGGGAAAGGAAAACAATGGAGGAAAAACTCCAGACGGATGGACAGGCATTGTGTATAAGCCTAACAAATGAAATAAACAAAAGTCAGAAAATTGAATTTCTTTAAATGGAACGGTCTATTGAACCTTTCGACAAAATGTAAAAAAAAAAAAAAATCTAAAACAAAGTTTGCATGTGTGTTTCTTCTTGACAAATCATATTTGATTAATATTTGATGCATTTTATGGATAAAATATTGAGGCCCAAACTAAGCAAAAATATGCAATTTGATGCAAATACTGATCTTTATATGGCCAAAAAGTAAGAAGAAATTCTGATAGTTTGTAATGTAAATGAATGAGAACTTATACAGTACAACAGACTACTTACATAAACTGCATAAATGTGAGTCGTTACTGTATATCTGCCAATAATGTCTTGGTAAGATGATTTGCTTTAGTTTTAGGATCAAAGCTCAGTAGTTTTAATACATATAAAGCAATGCAATACAACGAAGATTGAGAGATGAAGAAATAAACCTTCCTCAAAAGCCTGATGATCTTATTTGAGACTCACATTTGAACACAAAAAATAAAAAAGTATGGATACTCAACCTAAGTTGCTTCAGTCTAGTAAGCGTCATCTTGAAATACACAAACAATATCAAAGCTATTCTTACGTTTACTTTATAAAAATCAGTAAAGATTTCACAGCAAAGAGACGTATGGACATATTACAATAACTATAATTAATTACTTGCTAAAAAAAGACTAAACTGTCGATCAGTCAACAGAAGGCATGAAGTAGATTCTGTGCAACAGGTTTTTCAGCAAAGTCTGATCATGTATGTAGTCATGTAACGTTAGCCACCTTAGAAATGATTCAACCAAATAGGTCACAGTAGGCTTGATAGGGTTAACTCATTTCGAAAGTGGTCATTTCCACAAATCACCAGCTTTAATGTATGAAGGTGCACGGATGACAAATGCTTTGTTTGGATCAATGTATCAGCACAAAATGAAAAATAAAACAGGTTGCAGGGATCTAATTCCCTCAGCTGACCAGATCTGCAAACACACAGTCATATCACTGATCAAAACAGGGGCGGCCTACATCCATCCAGCCCAAACACACACACTCATTTATTGACCCTAAACGTCATTATTCCTCCACATGTATATGTGCAAAGACTGTAAATGGACCATATACATCTCAGACACTGACAGCTTCAATAACAACAGATAATTCACTAGTTAAAAGACACTACAAATATAATATAAAGCCCAAAATATCCCAAATAATGCCCAAGTTAGAAACCAAACCCAGAATTGAAGTCTCCATAATCTTAACATTATACATAATACCAAAGCCATGAACAATGAAATGTTGATGTGATGGTCAAATGTAATTGCTAGTTTATTAAAGGCGTTTTTGGACCGAATAAACACGGAATTGAGTCAGAAATCCAATAATAATAATAATACATGCAAGCAAACAAACAAAACAAAAGACGCTAATAAATACATTTTTACACAAGTGACTGCTTCTTTCTTTCCACAATGTCAGTATATAATACTTAATTTTATATAAACATAATCGAAAAGAATAGAACGTGTAACGTTGCTGACTTTATGTAAAAAAAACCACAAAAAGCTAAACACCGACTCACTGTGATAAAAACAGCACTGCTGTGACGTTACCTGAAACGGGTTGCTGAAGTCCGGGTCCGCGAAGGGGTTGCTATCAAAATCTGACATTTTCCCGGTTGAATTGGTCTAAAATGTTAGACTAAATGAAAGATATTCGGTAAGAAACGCACCAGCAGCTCGAGACTGATCCGCAACCGCAAAATGGCAGAACCGGAAATGACGTCATGCGTCAGCTGCACGTCTTCCAATTCAGTATGATCACATATTATTAAAATGTGTTCCTAATTATTATCATCATGATTATTCTTTTTATAATAATAATTTTTTTTTTTTACTTTTTATGATAATTTCATTGCTTTATACTTAATTGCAGAAATTGCATCTTATTTAATGTTGTTCCCTTATTATTATTATTATTATTATTATTAGGCTATTATTATTATTTCTTTCGTCGCTACATTTATTTTTTCAAGTCATTAGATAGTCAACAATGCAGAACAGAAAACATTAATTTCACAAAATCTTGATATGTCTGCCACCTAGAGTTCATAAATAATCATTACATCTAATATTATTTATCCATCCAAAATGTCCTAAGCATAAATAGTACTTCATATACATGAATATCAAGAACAGCTTGTCATTCAAATGAAGAGTTTTGTTTGTTTGTTTGTTTTTTTGTTTTTTATTTAACTACAAGATATTCATGGCCTTGCTTGCACTATAGCATATTCTCCAAGACTTTGCTCTCAGTTAAATTCTGAATAAAGGATATTAATATTTTGGCACTTCTGCTAAACACAGCTGTATCCGTCAAACTCCAGGGGGGTATTGCACAAAAGCAAGATAAGGGATTAAGCTGGGATTTTCCAGTTATCCTGGCTGAATTTAGCCCTGACTCGGTTGCACGAATGGAGGCTAAATTAATCTACATTAAGTTACTATGGAGATTTACACTTTGCAGCTAGCCTGCTCTAGAGCAGGCTAACAACCAGGCTAAGATTAATCCTAGTGATTTATCGACTAGTTCCTCCCTAAATCTTAGATATTAATGTTTTAGTTACTTTATGCTCCTGCATTAAAATATAGATATACTGCCATTCATCTAAGAATGCGTACTGATATTTTAGTTATTATTAAAAACTGCTGTTCATTTCACTGTCAGAGGTTTGATGAATATATTATTTGAGATTCAAAGCGTTTATTGGCATACACCTGCAGTGAGGAAAGCAGATTTTCCTGAGCAATTATAACTTTGCTGTCCACAATAAATGCCAACACATGCAAAAGAACTATACTATACAATATGATAAATAGAAAGACTATGTATATCTATGCAAATATAGAAATGTATAGTTGAAAAAAAATTATAGGCTATTTTATTGCAGTTGATGAGATAATAAGAAATGGCTCATTAAGTCGTAAATGTGGTTTCATGTAACAACAAGGTCAATATATAGTATATATAGACTAAAGATTTGTTTTTCCTATTCACAATGGCTTGCCCTTTGTTGGATGATGTAGTTGATGAGGAAGTTTTAATACTCAGACGAGCATTCAGCCATGAAAGAGTCATCCGAGATAGGGCAGACCCATTGGAATCACTGGCTTCCCTTTATAGGCCTGTGGTGCTGTGCTGTGGTGAAGTCTTGGGTTGGAGGGCCACCCCCGTACCAGATATATGACTTTTTTTTATTGCTAAAATCAGCACAGACGATTAAATGTCAGCAAACATGTCACCATGTTCTCTGCAGACAAGTCACTTACCAGCCTGCAAAATATTCTTGTATTTAATCTAGACTTTCTGCCAAGTCCTTTTTTGGCCAGACATGTTTGTTCTTTAAGAGGAATAGATACAAATGATAAAATAGATTAGATGGATAAAAATAGTGCAAAATATCTGATTATAGATTACATTAAATCAATTAGAAACAAAACCTACATAGAAATAGATAAGAGTAAAAAGATCAAAGAGATAATAGACATAAAATAAACTAAATATATAAAATATGTACACATAGTAGGTAAGTGTTTGCAATTATTCTTCATGTTAAATGTATGTCCACTGGTCACATTTAAGGCAAAATATACAATTATTTTTTTAAATGACAAGTAACTCCTCAAATTGTAATTATGAGGGTTACAATGGAGCACTGCACACTCAAATGCTCGGTTGTTTTAAACCAATTTTGGGTCAAATATGGACAAACCCAGCTGTTGGATTGAATTTATTAATTGCATTTTTAAATCCAACATTTGGGTTTGTCCATATTTGACCCAAAATTGGCTTAAAACAACCCAGCATTTTTTTAGAGTGTGGTTATTTATGGACTTAGCATTCAATCGGTCTGCTATTGTTTGCCAGGCATTCTCTCTTTGTTTTATTACAGCATCTGTATTGGCTTTTTTACATATTATATGTTTCATTATATGTTTCACTTCTTCATACGTTTCCATAAGAAGCTGTTGCTCATTAGGTGAAAAGTATGCCGCACGCGTTTTGTCCATTTTTGGATCGGTGATTCTGTGATCGATTTCGCGCTCTTTTTAAGAATGCCGTGAACGTGCATTTATCCAAACTATATACACCTGGCTTGACATAGCCGCGCGTTCTCATCCTGGCTCAGCAAACGTGCAACGGATTAAGCCAGGATGCACTGATCAGACTAGGTCAAACCGCGACTGTTCAGTTATCCTGTCTTTCTTAATTCTACTTTTGTGCAATACCCCTCAGCTTTACAATGCTTAGGATAACATTACAATGCTCATGATATCTTGTTTAACTTTACAATAAGTAAATCCACTTCACCAGCTAATTACTCCTCGACAGCGAAGCCATAGAAATATACAGAGTGACCACAAAACCTGAAGTTCAAAGACAATATTCTAAGAAGATGACGGCGCCCACGTTTCTCTGGTGCATAAGGTCTATAGTTTTGGAAACCTATGAAGGAACACTTTATGACTGTTTGAACATGGGACGTGGTCTAAGTGCTAGAACGCACTTTTTGATGCACTTTGGGGTGAGTTTGCCTGCACTTTCTCCAAAAATATACAGTAAATTGACTTGACAATATAGCCAGGGTCCAGAAATATAGCCAGCTGAGAAAATGAGCAAACCTATGAAGGAACACTTTTTATGAGTGTTTGAACATGGGACGTGGTTTAAGTGCTAGAACACACTTTGATGATTGGGCTCGGTTTGCCTGCACTTTTCTCCAAAACTATACAGTAAAATGACTTGATAATACATACAGTAATAGCCAGAGTCCCTCTGAACAGAAATCAATTGAGAGAATGGGCAAAAATATGAAGGAACACTTTTTATTAAAGTGTTTGAACATTGGACTTGGTTTAAGTGCTATAACACACTTTGATGATTGGGCTGAGTTTGCCTGTACTTTTCTCCAATATACCGTAAAATGACTTGATAATACATACAGCGATAGCCAGGGTCCCTCTGAACATAAATCAATTGAGAGAATGAGCAAACCTATGAAGGAACACTTTTTATGAGTGTTTGAACATTGGACTTGGTTGATTGGGCTGGGTTTGCCTGAACTTTTCTCCAAAACTATACAGTACAATGACTTGATAATACATAAATTAATAGCCAGGGTCCCTTTGAACAGGAATCAGTTGAGAAAATGAGCAAACCTATGAAGGAACACTTTTTATGAGTGTTTCAACATGGGACGTCACGTGTATATCGTTTGAACATGGGAGCACATATATATATATATATATATATATATATATATATATATATATATGAGAAATTCAATGATAATTGAAAGATTAAAAGCCATGAAAGCCTGTTGTATCATATTTGTCATTTACATTAACATAAAAAAGTAAAATAAGTAAATTATCATCATTACATTAATAATGAGTGTATACATATACAAACATTAAAATCAACAAAAAAGCTAAATAAATTTATCAATAATTAATATTCAATTTCATTTACATTAATAAAGTAGGCAATAATAATGTATAATAAAAAAATCAAATTATATATATATAAACATTCAAATTAACAATTAAATGTAAAAAAAAATATGTTTGATAATTAACATTAACACGAGCATGAATAAATTAAATCTTTAAAAATAAAATTTAAATTAATGTAAATCATATATAGGCCTACAAACCTTAAAATAATAATAAAAAATGAAAAAGTCATGTTTTTAAAAATATATATATTTTGCGAATAAGATGGAAAATAGCAGAAAGTAGTCTAAAAAACGTAAATATTAACAATAAAAATGTATGATAATGTTTAATAATATGAACATGAATACATTATAATTGGTATAATTAATATTTAAGCCTAGAAACAATAACAACAAACAAACAAACAAACAATATTAAAAGTCATGTGTTAGGAAAAGATCATGAAATTGTATTATTTTTTTTTTGCCCTAATACGATGGGAAATATCAGGCAAAGGAGTCTTAAAATCAATTTTGGCGTCTTTCAGCACCCATACCGAAAGTGCAGGATTTGACGCGCATTTTTTAAAAAAAAGTGCGGCTGGCTTGACCGTGTATTTTCCAAGCGCGGCCCACTTGACCGCAGTACCCAACTGAAGTTTTTTCACTGAACACGGTCCTGTCCTGACTACTGCTGCGTCCCAATTCGCTTACTTATACTACGCCCTAAAAGTATGTACTCTTTTTGTGAGGAAAAAGTAAATACTTTTGAGTGTGTAGCAAAAGAGTAGGCAAGCTTTGGGACATACTATCACGTCATTAACGGACAGCTCTGTCGCATGCTGCGTGCATCATGTCTTTTTTTTTTTCATTGTTTTTTTATTTTTTATTTATTTATTTATTTTTATTGCATAACAAGAACAATATATAACATACACATACAGAGGATCACATAGTATTACATTCATAATAGCATCAAAGAAACAATAGACAGAAAAAACAAAACAAAAAATTAAACAATACAGGGGAAACATCATTACAAAATATTCCAAAAAGAAAGGGATTCAAAAATAGTATACATCCATTTCGCTTTTTTATTTCTTGCATCTTTTCCACACTTCTCCACACTTTTATTTTTGTATAACAAAAAAAATATCTTTGCCAGATAGACAAATCTTTAATTTTGTGAATTTAAATATCAAATATTCAACATCAGCTGGGTAAATGCACATTCAAAGAATAAATGTTTTATTGATTCTTCTTCTGTGTTACAAAAGGTGCATGT